TAAAACATAGAAAATTGACATACATAATCTCAAATGACCTAATGGTTGAAAATACTTTTTTCTAACCTAAAACAGTTTTTTTTGACATGCCTGTAAAATTAAATGTACAAAATTACCCCTGCTTTTGAATATAAAATGAGTTGTCTTCTCACATAAATAATGTGCCAAAATTCGGACGAGTTTTATGAAATTTGCTGCCCAAAAATATTGGTTTAGGGGTGAGTTTTTGCAACTCAAGAGTTCTTGGGCAAGTTAACGTCTGTGATACATATTGTAATTGTTATTTATTTATTTTTTGATCAAAGAAACATTGCATTAAAAAGAAACAAGACCACTAAGGGTTACATGAGAAAAGTGGCGACGACGCACCACAAACCGAAGCCACAAAGAATAACAACTATCCCAAATCATGTTCAAATAACTAGGAATATGAATAAATTTTGGCCCACTAAACACTTTCTCCAAAGTCACGACATTTTCAACCTCATTTAACGATTTCAGGGGAGATTAATCAATTAATCGAGGGATCTTGTCAATTATGGCACCCTCTTTAGGATTTGAAGAAAAATAATTGCCTCCAAAGTTGACTTATTCTCTACTATGACAGGTAAGGAAAAATTAGGCAAATTCCTCAAATCATGTTGGTCACAGATTTCAATACAATTAACACTGATAGCCTCTATAGATTCCAAAATTGTGTTTGAGCCTGTTTGGGGGTAAAAATACCTAGGACACGTGGAGGACACTTATTGGTGTTCTAAGAATTAAATAAAAGGAATTACCCAGGTCCACCTCGGCCTCACCAAGGTGATCGGGTTCGCCCATTGAAAAAGGCTAAGTATAGACGCCAAGGTTCCACCTGGTTGGGGTTCGATCTGCTCGGAACCCGACAGGTCCGACATGAGAAAAGACATATAACCGTCGGTCGTGAGTACTGTTGGATCCACCACCTATAAATAGAGGGCATCATTTCACGCTCGGGTATCGAATCTCACCTTGAACTAAATACGGAGTCCGACCTATACTGACTTGAGGTCGGAGTGTTTACCCTCTTGTGCAGGTCCACTCTAAGTGTTCAGGTCGAGACCGGAGACCGGGTTCGAGCTTGGTTCGTGAAGAACTGTTGTGCAAACTCCTACATAAACATTTGGCATCGTCTGTGGGAAAGGACGATCTAAGTCATCCCGATTTGAGAACGCGAACAAAAATGGTTCAGCCAGCAAACTCAACCAATACAGCCGACTGAAGAGCTCTAGTGGCCAATGATGGCCACCAGAGGGAGGCCGGAGCAGAGGTGGTAGAGGGACAGGTTCGTGAAGGCCTGGGGACAGAGCCTCTCCGC